GCACGGCCCCATTGTGTCCTTGGCCGTGGCTTCCACCACCATTTTGGGACACTTTACAGGTCCTACTTGGAGCCAATGGGAGGAAACCTAATTTCCTGCCACAGGAAATTGTTTGGCTAGGGAAAAATATACTTAAAGATTAAAACCTTCTGTCAAAGAGCTGGAGAAAGCCATTTGGGGGTCTTGGGAAGCCACTGGGCGGGGGCAGAGGTCTCAGCCATGTGTCAGGAGGAGCTGGGCAGCTTCCTGGGATTCCGCTCAGTGCAAGGGTGGCCGCTCTGGGGCTGGGAGGAGGCTGACACAGAGAGGAGAGTAGGTCAGAGACAGACCCTTGACTGGCAGTAAGCACGTTTATGGGAATATCAGCTCAGAATTAAGACATGTTTGTTGGATTTACTCAGTGGGCCCAGTGCCCTGGAAGGTCTGGGCAGGCGTGTTCCGGACACACCAGCTCTGTAAGCCCGGCAGCAGCTCCAGCACTATTTTAGCAAGCATTGGTGCGTGTTTTAAATGGAACGGAAAGGGAAAGAAGGCACAGTACCAGGGCACTGGGCCCCAGGCAGCCGCGACTCTGAGCCAGCAGCAGTCGCTGACGCAGAAGAAGTAATGAATGAGATGCCCTTCTTGTCATGAGTTCGGGAATTTTATGGCGCAGAGCAGCTGCCTTCTAGAAAAGCCTGCCAAATCAGCTCGGCGGTCATGGGCTTGCGAACTGGAGAGCCAGCGCGCCCCATCCGTCTCCCTGTCGTCGGGATCCTGTGTGACCCTAGGACTGAGCTCCGCCTCCTGGAGGTCCGCGGACACAGTGAGGTGGCACCGTGAGGGCACTCGATGAGCCCCTGAGCCTACAGCGTGGGGATGGGGATGGTGTAAGTCTGGGCACCAAACCCTTGTGAGAGTCAAAGCAGACATGTGGCCTGGTTTCTGACCCCTCTACCCACGGGTCCCCACAGCACCAGAGCAGAAACGGGACGGTGTCCCAGGGCACCTACCACGGCCCTCCTGTGCCAGACCCTGCTGTACGTACCGGTGGGGCTGTGGTGGTTGTGCAGCCGTCAGGACAGCCGGTGGCTTGTGCTGAGCACTTCTGGCAGGAGCATCACTCGGTGAAGGAGACTCCACTTTAGGTGAGAAGAGGAAAGGCCGGAAGTGACTCACTGAAGTTCAGCTAGCGAGCGTGGAGTCTGGATTTACACCCAGGTTCATCCGAGTCTGAAGTCCTTACGTCTTTTTTCTTAATGGTTATAACAGCTTACAAATAAGTTGCACGTACTTAAAGTATGTAATCTGATGAATTCTGGCACATGCCTATCCCTGTAAAACCTCCATTGCAGCCAAGATAGCAAAGCACCTCTGCTCCCCGGAGTCTCCTCACGCCTTTGCTCACCCCTGGCCCCCTGCAGCTTCTCGCACTGCTGTTGTCACCAGCAGTTAGCTCCCGCTTTTTACAGGATTAGGTCTGACTTCTCGTGCTCGGCGTAGTTTTGGATCCAGCCCCGCTGTCGCGTGTAGCCGTGGACCATTCTTCCGGTTTGCGGGCGGAGTGCCCTGGTGTGGATTTGACTCAGTGTTTATCTGTTCGTAAGCAGGTACCTAGATGTGTGCTTCCACTTCTCCCTGAGCGCTTAGCCGTGGGATGAGTGGACTGTGTGGTGGGTTGTTTTAACTTTCTTTTTTAGTAGTGCATGTTTGTATTGTATGATGCTTGCCTTCCCTTTGTGGAGTTGGTTCATATAGAGAGCACAGCCTAATTGCTTTTTTTTTAAAAAATCCACTTTCTCATTTCTGTATTCCCTTCCCCTTTGAGAAAGACCTGTCTCCCAGCTTCCTGTTACCTGTATTTTGCTCTTTGTTTATAATTTGGGTTGCTTTTTTAAAATTTTATTTCTTTTTATTATTATTTATTTATTTATTTTATTATTATTTTTAAATGTATTTAGCGCAGGGACTACAGGGTCTCACTACACAGATCAGACTCAGTGATCCTCCTGTTTTCAGCCCAGTCCCAGTCGCTGACTCAGTGCACCCTGGGGGGCGGGGCCAGCACAGCGTGCCCAGTACTGAACCTTGGTCTCTGTGCCTGCCTAAGTAGGCGTTTTAGTCCACTGAGCTATCTGGCTGGCCCTGGGTTTATTTATTTTTTTTTAAATCTTTTTTATTTATTTAAGATATACTTGCTATGCAGCTGGGGCTCATAGCATCCTCCTGTCTCAGCCTCCCCAGTGCTGGGATTATAGGCGTGCGCTGTCACCCCCAGACTTGGTGGCCAGCGTGTAGTAGTACCTGGGATCAAACTCGGTTGTTCATGCTTGCCAGGCAGGTGCTTAGGCCGCCAAGCTATCTTCCCAACTCCTTCCTATTATATTTACTTTACTCTTTATTTGTAATCTAGGCTGCTCATATAAGAGAAACGACGTGTGGTTTAAAGCTTGTGTGTCTTCTTTGTTTCACTGAACATTACGGTATCGAGGTGTATCCATCTTCCTATAAAAGGCTCAAACTTTTATTTCTTTATGTTAGAATGCTACTCCATTGTGTGTAACTAGCACATTTCCTCAGTTCATTCGTCTGTTGGTGGACATAGAGGCTGCTTTCAAGATTTAGCTAGTATGCATTGTGTTGCTGTGGACATGGGCTTGCGCCGACCGCTGTACTAGGCTGTCTTTAGCTCTTGCAGGAAGCTACCTAGAAGAGGGATTGGTGGCTCAAGCGGGATTCCTAGTGTGCTTTTGAGGACTCTCCACCCTGATTTCCACAATGGTGGTAGTAAGCTTATGTTCCCACTGACAGCGTCGAAGGGCATTTTCTGCCACAGCCTTACCAGCATCTCTGATTATTTGAATTTTTGTTTTTCTGGTGGAACTGGGGATTGAACTCAGGCCCTTGCGCTTGCCAGGGAAGCACTTATTCCACTGAGCCATCTCCCCGGCCCTGATTATTTGAATTTTTGACAAGGACCATTCTAAGGAACTCTGGAACTGCCCCCCAAAGTAGAGTCACTGGCCCGTTGTCATTCCCATCAGCCGTGGATGACAGTCCCACACCCTTGCCGCCAACATGCCTTGCTGCCGGTTTTAGCTGTTCTCATGGTTGTGTGTGGAATCCCACTGTAGCTTTAATTTGTCCTTTGCAGAAGACTGGTGATAGCTTTCATGTATATTTGCCATCTTTTTATTTTTAGGGTGGCATCTGTCCAAATCATTACCTGCTATTTTAAAATTGAATTCTTTTCTTAATATCGAGTCTTTGGAGATCCTTTACCACATACATGCTTTATAAATGTCATCTTCTAGCTTGTCCCCTTTTTATTTTTTGACAGTGCCCACCCAAGATCAGGAGCTTAGATTTTGATGACCAATATCTCAACCTTCTGTTTCCAGATTGTGTTTTTAGTGCCCCAGGTCACCACAATTTTCTCCAGACTCTTCTCTTAGAAGTTTTACCATTTTAAACTTTACTCTATGAAGCACGTTGTTTGATTTTTTTTTTGGGGGGGGGTCTAGGTGTAAGTTGAAGTTCATTTTTCTTATGTGTGGCTACTTGGTCTTCTAGCACATCATTGAAAGATGACCCTTTCTCCATTACGTCATTATCTTGTTGACCCCAAGTTGCCCATGTGCATGTGGCTGTTTGTGGCCTCTGTGAGGTTCAGCTTCCTACTGAGCACGGGCTGGGGCTTTGGTCAAAACCTGAAGAGCAGATGCGGCCACTTCCCTAATCTGTGGGCACCTGGTGGCTTCAGCAGCTGTCTGACTCGTCTAGTGCACCACTTCCCACTCTCTTGCCTGCTCTGCTGGGGCTCAGTGTGTTGGCCCAGGTGGCTACGATGACGGAGAGTAGGCAGTGGTCTTCAGTGGTTGGCGCTTTGCAAAGGCCTTTCAAAGGGACCCCAAGCTTTGTGAGGTTGGGGGAAGGGGCTGAATGTCCCCCACTTCTAGACCAAGCAGTGGAGGGTCCTAGATTCCTCATGCCTTGCCCAGGCTCTGGCAGTGAGGAGAAGTGAACCACATCTTGACCCCAGGTCTTTAGGACTTCACATCTGCCAGTCTTTCTCCTGTACTTGGGGACCAGACCCAGACTGTCCTCTCTGGCTCTGCCTGATAATTACTGTTTTCAGTTGTTGGGGTTCGTTGGTCCCCTGCACCACAGGAGGGAACTAATTACATCCTTGCAGATACCCTGAGTCGGCAGCGCTGACCTTCCTGTCCTACCCACTCCCAGAACAGTGGTTTGGGGGTGCCGAGTGGCCCCTTCTTTCTCTCTTCCTGGTTGATGCTTCTGGTTGTGTCTGGGAGCCCCTCACTCACAAAGAGCCCCCAGGTTCTGTTTAACAGAGTCATGGTTGTCCTTGGTCCTAAGGGGACACAGAGGGCCAGCTTGCAGATACCTCCTCGCCAGTTCCACTCGGCAATTAGGAAAACTGGCGGGTTCTGAATGGGCCTCTTAGGTCGCCTAACTCCCGAGCAGCCCTCTTTCTGGGCTGCACCTCAGAATCATCACAGTCAGAATCAACTTGAGGTCGAGGCCTGACGCTTATGTGCAGGGCGCTGAAGCATCTCAGAGGCTCCTTCCTTAACTGCTTTTAAAAGAAAGACGGGCTCCCTTCTTGTGGCCCCCAGATCCTTGCAGAGACTGCTGCCTGCGCCCCAGCCAGGCCTGGGCCCCACTGTCTCACTACATAGACCCTTTCTAGATCTCCACCCACGCAGAGCCAGACGAGCAGCGCAGAACCTTTGTGGATCATGACTCGAGTGTATACCCTTCCTGAGTTGCTGCCTGCTGTTCAGGGCCTGGGGCATAGGGTGCCGGCCTGTTCTGCTGGCTGTTGGGGGCCTCAGCCTTCCAGTGGGCCTGACTGGTTCTCCTGGGGTGCCTCCCAGCTCGGCATAGGACCTCTGCGGCTGGGAGCAAAGCAGGAGCCCATGCCAGCCAGCAGATCCTTCAGGGCTTCCAGCAGTCAAACCCACTTTGCTGACTCTCTGCCCTCCCTGTCCCACTAGGTCTCTGGATGGTCGCCTGCAGGTATCCCATCGCAAGGGCCTCCCCCATGTCATCTACTGCCGCCTGTGGCGATGGCCGGATCTGCACAGCCACCACGAGCTGCGGGCCATGGAGCTGTGTGAGTTTGCTTTCAACATGAAGAAGGACGAGGTGTGCGTGAACCCTTACCACTACCAGAGGGTGGAGACACCAGGTACACCGCCCAGGAGGGTCTGCGGGGCTCCAGGGCTTTGGCACCAGCCCAGCCCCGATGCTGAGCCGGCTCTGTCCTCTCTCACCCAACAGTTCTACCTCCTGTGTTGGTGCCTCGCCACACAGAGATCCCGGCCGAGTTCCCCCCGCTGGAGGACTACACCCATTCCATCCCCGAGAACACTAACTTCCCTGCTGGCATCGAGCCCCAGAGCAATATTCCAGGTACTGGGTCCTTCTGCACAGCACTGGCCTTGGGGCCCCGAACCAGCCTGTGTCCCCGTTGGGAAGGGACCTGTGGCCTCAGCTCCCCACTGGCTAATGATGCTTTGCTTGGCGTGGAGGAGCAGCGTGACCCTTCCGCCTGGCCCCAGCGCAGTCATTTATTTTGGAAGCAGAAATAGCAGCACTGCGTAGCTCTCTGGCCTCACCCTCATACCAGTGGGGCTGGAGTTCAGCCGGGAGACCTGACTGGCTGGGCTCTGCCAGGACCCTGGGCCTCTGACATGGGACCGATGGCAGCCAGGGTGGGAGCTGAGGCCACTTGGAGTTTTCCCTCTTGGGAGGAGACACGTACCCTGCAGAACTGTGCAAATGTTTGTAGCAGCCCCTCATTTACATGCAAATCGAGTGTGAATCATTGTAGCTGATGTCCTGGGAGGTGCTGCAACACCCTCAGGCCATCACCTCGGCCTACGCCTGACCAGTGCTTTCTTCAGAGCCTTCTGGTTCAGATGTGGCTTTTGCCCTGGCCTGGTTTGCATGCCAGGGTGGCCTCTGTGTTGGACCCTGAGGTGGTGGGAAGGCAGGGGGCAGAACTTTCACAAGTGCCCTGCCCGGCGTTCCCAGTCTTACAGGTAGCCATGGGGTTAGCTGTCACTCCTGTCCCAGGGCTGGCCGTGGAGGGCCGAGTCCAGACGGGGTGGGGAGGAGGTTCCAAGAATTGGATGGCACAGCCTCTGCCATCATCGGATTGCATGAGCGCCGGGAAGCTAAGCCGCATTCCCTAGAGATGACAAATGACAGACTGCGGTGGGTCTGCGTGGGGAAGCGGGGCCAAGGGCGGGCTTGCTCTTTGGAGGGCAGCAGTGGGCGAGGCAGAGTCCAGAGCCTCTCTGGTGAGCAGGGGAGCTGGGCCTGCAGCAGCTGGCTCTGTGCGTCCCAGCACAGGTGCTGCGGACTTGGAGGCAGCCCTGGGGTTCCAGGGGTTGCAGGAGCCCGAAACCCAGGACTTGGGTTGTAGAAGTCGTCACAGGCCTCCTCATGGCCACCTGTTTTCTGCTTCCCAGAGACCCCACCCCCTGGCTACCTGAGCGAAGATGGAGAAACCAGCGACCACCAGATGAACCACAGCATGGACGCAGGTCAGTTGGGTGAGCAGGCAAGCTGGGCCCTCACCTCTGTCCCTGCCTCTTGCATCCTCTCACCCTGTCCAGTCTCTCTAGTGTTCAGAGTGACCATGCTGTGCAGCGTGCCAGGCTCACAGCTGGTCCCAGACAGCTTGCAGTCACCGTGCTGTCTTCCACTTGCCCTGTCGGAGGATACCGCGGGGTGGCAGGGGCACGGAGCAGGCCATTTAACCTGAGGTTGGGAGGTGCTGTACTTTGCAGTGTTGGCTTTTCCTGAGTTGAGTCTTGGTGACACATGGATGATGTCTTAAGAAACCAGTGAGGTGGGCAGAGAGGGTTGCTGGGCAGAGTTGTGGGGGCCATGGCGGCCTGGGCAGGAGAGCCTTATGTGGCCAGAGCCCAGGGTTAGGCACACTGTGCTCGGAACCTGTCATCAAGAGCATCTGACATGGCAGGAAGACCACTTGGCATTGAGCCCATGGTTTGTGGGAAGCTAGTGCAGGCCTAAAACTGGTGTGAGGCTGGGTGGGATGCTGGTGGCAGGGTGTGGAGGGTGGGCTACAGAGAGTATGGATGGAGACAGGTCTTTAACACTGGCCAGTGGGCAGCAAAGAAGCAGCTGTCTTTATATGGTGCCAAGTGTGAGCAGAGTGCCCCTACCGGGAGGGATCCGACCTGGTGCGCTGTCACCATGCTGCAGATGTTTCCCACGTCATTTGTTATGGGACTAAATTGGCTCCACAGCAGTAGCTGTTTGAACAGAGCTTTGGCCGTCACATGAACGTGCTTGGTGGCTGGGTGAGGAGGAGGGAGCAGAGAGGACATCCCATCCTGGTGATGGGGTTGGTGAGAGTGGGCATACTCATGCACACAGGGCTGCGGGGCTGTGGAGCCACCTGCCCTGTGCACCGCCTGGGACAGACTGCAATTCCGGAAGAAGAGAAGACGCACAGGCAGGCAGGCTCCCGTGCATGATGCGGACAGGGCCGCTGAAATCGTGCACAGGTGCAGCGACACTCCTGGGTGGAGCGCAGCCCCTGCAGCTGCTCCCTGCCTCCTGCCCCAGCAGCTGGCAGCATGGATGCAGCTGCGGTGCACTGGGGACCTTCCTGTATTCCGTGCCAAGTGACCACAGCAAGCTTGCAGCTGTTCGCTGCTGGCACGGGGCAGGGCCAGCCAGGCAGTGTCTCTCCTGCTGTGGGGCTTCTCTTCACCCCTCTCTCTGCTCCCTGCCTGGCTCTGTGCACCTTTTGTAAACACAGACCAGAGGGAAGGTCTTGCTTCCCTCCCCTCCTCCCTTTCTGCCCGCTTGTCACTATCCCTTCCCCTCCTCTGTCTCAGGGCCCTGTCTTGAACTTCAGTGTCCCATCTCAAGGGGAAACCTGATGTGTGGCTCCCAGCCAGCCCTCATGGGGGCGGGCAACAGTATCCTGTTGATTCCGTTCTTCCTCAGGGCCCCCTCAGGCTTGGGGTGAAGTGGCTCAGGCCAGAGGTCGCCTTGTTCCCCATGTCTCCTTTCACAGGCCCTTTCAGATCAGCAAGACGGTCACACAGCCTTCCAAGGCCTTCGTGACTGAAAGTCTCTCGAGCGCGCACTGTGCATAGATGTGCTGTAAACAGCTTCACACGCATGTCCTTGCCTCATCTGTACAGCTCCGAGTAGATTATCTTACTCACGCTTTCTTTTTTTCCTTATTCCCACTTTAACTAGAAAATGAAGGCTCCAAAAAGCCGTAGGGCTTTGGCCCTCACACAGCTGATTCTGGTGGCATCTGAGAGCCTGCAGGGCCAGCCTCTGTGCCCTCCCCAGTGGGCTAGGGGACATGGGAAGAAGGAAGCAAGCCGGGGCGGCTCCTCCATCCTCACAGCACCAGTGCCTGAGGCCAGACGCAGGCCTGGCCTCAAGGACAGCAGATTGCAGCCACTGCTTTCTTGGAAGGCTGATGCTGTGCCCTTTCTCCTTCTGGTGGAGAGAACCTCACAGTATACATCAGCTAGCGCTGGACTTTTTCCCACATGTGCCGTCCTGTCTGCATGAAGCACGGGTCTGGTAGCTGAGTTACAGGGTTTCCAGGGCGGGTTTGAGTTTCTGGAGATGGGTACTTCAAGGTTCCTGAGCAGCAGCATCCCATGCATGGAGGGAGGGGTGACAGGGAAGGGGTGGGGGGGGGGGCAGCATGCAGCTTCCCTGGGCTGTGTACCGCAGCAAGAGGCCCTTTCCTGCTCCTCTCATTCTCCTGGGGTGCAGCTAATGGGACATGTTGACGGTGTAAGCTCAGAGAAAGGTGCCACCCAGCCTCGCTCGCTGGGCATCCAGCCCTGTGCTTTAGCCTTGGTCAGGATCCTACCCCATCAGGAGGAGGGAGACCTTTGAGACTGTTCTATTGTTACCTCCATTCTCCATTCCACACATGGAGAAACTGGGGTGCAGGAAACACACATGGGAGTCAGGGCATGAGGTCAGGCCTTCTCCTGCAACTTGGGGGCTCTGTCTTGGGCTCTGTCCTGCTGTGATGAGCCATCCCTTCTTGAAACCTCACTGCTGTGTTTCTCCTTGCAGGTTCTCCGAACCTCTCCCCAAATCCGATGTCCCCAGCACACAATAACTTAGGTAAGTATCTGTCCAAAGACTAGAACCTTTCCAGCTGGTGGAGACAGGGACAGGGACCCCATCAGTGAGGCTCACTGCCCTCCACCCTGCTGTCCCAGTGGTCAGCACAGCCCCATCGGGTCTCTGGTTTCAGCGATTCTGGGGTCACCCCAGAGCAGGGAAACTGGAACGCCATGGTGACAGGAAAGGCGGCTGTGTGCTGGGTTAGTGTTTCCCCTGGGTGGTGTCAGATGTGAGTGAATGAAAATTCCCAGACCTCTGGCCCTGGAGACCCAGCTCCGTGGTCAGCCAAGCACGTGTGTGTGGTTTGGTGCAGGTCTGCCGGCAGCTGGACTCCTGCCCCCCACCCACAGGTGGGCTCCAGACACATGGACTTGGGATTTGTGTATTTCATCTCAGGATAATTTAACTTTTAATAAAGCAGCGACAGAGGCAGTTGGGGAAAGGCCCTGGTGCCTGTAATCCCACCAACACAAGCGTCCTTATCGTCAGGACCATCCTATGTATCTGCTTTTCCCTTCTCTCATTTCATAGATGTTTCCATATTTCGCCCCCTGCTTATCTTGAGTTGCCCACAGTGTTCTGGCATGACTGGCCCCTGGCTCCGCTGTGCCCCTTGCTTGTCTGACTCTGGCTCAGGATCTTGAGGGTGGCTCCGCTCACCCGGGATCATCAGTTTGCAGCTTGGGACAAGCTTTGTGAAGTCCTCGTGACTCCCAGTTGGAGCCTGCTGAGGCTCTCCAGATGTGTGAAATATCTGTATCCTTACTTATGGGAAGTTTTTTTTTTTTTTAAAGAACATGTCTGTTTAGTTTTGTTTGGGGCTCTGCTGCTGGAGTGGACATGGTGGCTCAGGAGCACTGGGTGTTGAGTTCAGGTGTGGTGGCTCTGTATGGCTCGGACTGGCTCTGTGAACCTTGGTTTTAAGATGACAGTGTCAGGTAAAGCTTAGCACCTGCAGGTGCTTGAACATCCTTGACAGGCTGCCCAGAGCGGGTAGAGTTTAACTGGCTCTCAATGTCACGGGGTCCAGTCTGTGGTCACTGGCTCCAAGTGAGAAGGTGACATTGGAGGCCTGCTGTGACCTTGCGGTGTGGCCATTTCACTGTGAGTGTGGGGCTTTGCAGAGGGAAGAAGCTAGAAGCTGCTGCGACTCGGGACATGAAAGGCAGGGATTGTGAAATGACTGGACTCCAGCCCGAGATGAGTGGCTGTGGATCTGTTTTCTTTTTTTTTTTTTTTTTTTTGCATTATATTACAGAATTGTAATACTAGCTTGTAGAATCACCCATCTCAATTTCTATTATTTGTGGATCTGTTTTCTGAGCCATACTCCCCAGAGGCCACGGGAGCAAGTTTGGTTAACAGACCTGGGGCAGACTCTTCCCAACTCCGTGGTCCAGCCTGCAAGTTGTCCTGCTGGTCCCCAGCTGGGACTCACTGTTCAGATCTTGGGGTCCAGGGTGATGGGCTGAGTCTTGAGCTTTGCCTCATAGCATGGAGTCCCCTCCCTGCTGCTTATCTGTGAGAATTCTGAGGTCATTTCTTACAAGGGCAGGGGCATGGGTCACTGAGCCAGCCCTGTGGAGAGTGGTGCCCCTTGGCTGGTCTGGGGATAACTCTGGAGGAAGTCGGGTAAGTCAGCCCAGGAATCAGCACCAGGACTCAGATGAGCACTTGTTGAGTGAGTCTTCAACCTCCTTTCCCCGTTCAGAGCCCCCACCTGGGAGCCCTCAAGCTGGGGGTGGGCGAGGAGGGTGGCGGGTGCCTCCTGAGGACTGGCCATGGTGGGTGCTTCCTGAGGACTTGATGTTTAGTGTTCTTCGGAGGTTTCCTGAGTCTGAATCTCAGGCCAACTCTGTGAGGGGAAGTCCTGCCATTTGCATTTCATAGAGTAGGAAGCCAAACATTTATCCCAGACCACACGCCTAGTAAATGGATAAGTGGGCTTTACATTCAAGTGTCCTCCATTGTAGTCTGTGCCTTATCACACAGGGCATCTAGACTGGGGCCAGGAAGACCAGCTGTCTCTACCTGCCCAGCTTGAAAGACCAGAGGTGGCAGGAGGGACCGTACAGATAGAGGGTTGATGGCACGTCAGGAAGGAATGATGCCGAAGGGACCGTTGGGGGCTGAGAAGAGTCCAGCGCCATCATGTCCCTGTGGCCTCCAGAAGAAAGTTGGTAGTGGGTTGGGCGGGCTTGCCTGGTGGCAGCGTCATGTTTATTAATCTGACCACTGCATGGAGTGTAGATTCTAGGGGAAATTACTGCAGGAAAGCCAAGAACCCCCTTTGGCAGCTGCTGCTGCGGCGGCACAGTGTCTACCACCCACGTGGCTCTCAGTGTCGGGGGGTCCAGTCCATGGCCACTGGCTCCAAGGCAGGGACGTCCTGGTGGGAAGGTTCATGGCAGCCAGGAAGCAGCAGAGAGGAGGCTGGGAGGGGCAGAGAAGGTTCCCAAGGTCATGCCTCCGCGACCCACCTAGACCTACCCAGATGGTGGTCATGCTGAGGATGGCCGACCGAGGCAGGAGGGGGAGAGGCCCAGTGACCATGGCAGAATGCGCCATGCTCAGCTGTGTCTCCACCTGGCCACAAAGCTGGGGAAGCAGCCAGGCCCCAAAGGGCTGAGCTGGAAACCACTGCTGGTGACAGCCCTTCTTGCAGTGGGCTCTTGAGAGGAGGGCTTTGTGACCAAGTGTCAGGGAGGTCTGTTGGTTCAGCATCCCCTGGCAAACGGGCCACTGCTGGGGCACCCCAGCTGCGGCTGCAGTGTTGACGGTAGAAGAGTCTAGTACAGAGGAGACCTGCTCCAAAAGTCAGTGCCAGGGCTCGGGGCCTAGAATGAGGCTGATAAGGGGGTAGGGCCACCCTGAAGGACAGTGGCAACACAGAGGCGTGGGAGGAGTCCTGGAGGCTGGCAGGAGGAGCTCAAAGGCAGCCTTTGCAGGGGCGTTTGCAGGCAGCAGTGGGGCAAAAGGGCAAGACAAGTGAGGACAGGGGAGCAGCAGGCAGCTGCCTCGGTGCTACTTCCTGGTGGCCACTGTGCCCAATCCACAAAATGAAACCAGGCATGTGGTGAGCTCTGCCTGGAAGGCAGAAACATCCCACCTTACCTATGTCTTTTAAAGAAATGATGATGAAGATAGCGTGACCAAGAGGACCATGGTGGGGGACATTTGCTTTCTCCTGGCACTTCCTCCCCACTCCAGGTGGGGGCGTGGGGAGGGCAAGGCAGGTGGAGGAGGAGAGGGTAACTCACAGGGCCCTGTGGGGTAGGTGTCTCTGGCTTTACAAGGGACATTCAGGATCAGCCCTGTTGAGGCCACGGAGGTCCCAGGTAGGGCCTGGCGACGCCTGAGCTGTCGTTTAGGGGCCTGGGTTCCCGAAACACCTTGGGCAGTAGGAGCCTGCCTCTGTGTCAGGAGGGTGACCCTGCAGTGTCCAGGCAGCCAGGAGGTAGAAGGCCACCAGCCCTGGGGAGGGCACAGGGGTCCCGGTCGCAGGTGGCTTAGTGCCAGGTCTTGGTGCTGCCACACAGCCCTTTTCTAAGGCCACTTCTGGCTCCAGGCTTCAGACATCTTGAGAAGCCCCAGGCTGTGACACATCCTCTGCTGGCTGTCTCCTTACTCTCCCGACAGCTTGCCTTTCCTGCTCTCCTTGGTGGTGTAAGCTGATTGCAGGCTAAAAAGTTTCTTTCTCTGCACAGCCTGTTGCTGGACTCCTAAGATGGGCTGGGGTCGGTGCCCTGGGGCCACAGTGGCTGAGCTGTGCCCAGAGTGAGGAGGCAGGCTAGTGTGGGGGGTCACACAAGCTGGCCTATGGGTGGGGTCCCTTCAGATGTGGGGGGACAGTCTAGGCAGAGGGCCCAAGGGCTGGCGGGTGGGGGGCGGGAACGGAGCAGAAAGTCACTTTTCCCTCCCATCTCCCCGCCTTTTCCTTTACCGGACTTGAGTCTTTTGCACATGTTTTTAATAGGCATCCCATCATCCAAGTGTTGCCTTCTGGGTCTCGTTCTGTTTTCTTTTCCTTAAATAAAACACAAAGTCCATGCCAGTTTGGAACAGGGCTTGTAACTAAAGTCAGCCAATGTGCCGGGCGGGTGTGGGGCCAGCTGAGAACGAAGAGCCCCATGCCACTCGGCAAGTCTGGCCAACGCCACGCAGGGGATGGGGGCGGGGAGGGGGCTGGAGGTTCGCAGTCTCTGGCACCTCTGTTCTGGGAAGCGAGTAGCTCTACTCGGCAGCCTGGGAGTGGAGGGGTGGTGGGCCAGGCCTCGATGCTCACTGCCTGCCACTTAAGGCGTGCAGAGGCCTAGGCCTGGCACTGAGGACGCAGTCTTACGTTTCTGACGTAGCCCTAGTAGGGATTGCATGCTCACACGTTAGCGTCATGTTGTACATTATGTTCCCTCTTTGCTTCATGTGCTAGGAAGCTCAGAGCCAAGCAGAGTGCTCTTTTCAGTAGCTGTAACCTCATGTTTCCTGACTTTTTCCTCTCATTCTCACCATGATGTAGATGAGGCTTTTGATGGGAAACAAATGAAAGCACATACGTGGTCTTTTAAAAAAAGTGTCATTGAAGTTAGAGCCCAGGGATGGTGAACCATACGTTTGGCCTGCAACTCCTCTGGCACAAGTGCCTCCGGGAACCCACCACCAGGAGCTGCGGGAAGCCAGGTGGTGGGAAGCAGGGCTGCCTGTCACTGGGCAGAATGGAGCAAGCACCTGGCGGTGTTGCCGCGCTGGCTTCCCACACCGGGGAGCAGGCCCCGCAGCATGCTGGGAAGCGGCAGGCCTCACACTCGTCTACTGGTCTGACCTCCACTGAACCCCCTAAACAGGCATCTTTATGCTGTGTGTCAGGTTTTGTCTGAGCTTCAGGGGGTGTTCAGAAGAGCTCAGGCTTGCCCAGGGCAGGGGGGCTTCTTGGAGCAGAACTTGCAGCCCCCACTGCCCCAGAGCCTGGTTGCAGCATCCTGTTCCACAGTGGGTAGCCTGCTAGCTCTGCCAGTTGTGACTGGTGTGTGTCAGCATGCCCAGGAGCCCCGCTTGCTCTCCTGCCTAGACAAAACCCCAGGGATTCTGGACAGGGCTGTGGCTTTGGGGTGAGAACTGTGTGTTGTTCTGTACATCGCTGAATGAGCCCATGTTGCCCCAACTAGCCAGAGCTGCCTCTGCAGCCAAGCCATGCAGGCACAGGGGCCTGCAGTATGCAAGTCCTGGGCAGACGAGGAAACCAAGGCCAGAGAGGAGGTCATGTCTTGAAGATCGCCACGCACACGGCCCACAGAGGCTGTCACTGGGCAGTGGTGCCTGACCACTTTGAATGCCTGGGTTGCTCCGGTATTTTTTTTTTTTTTAAAGTTTCTCAAGCAGCATAGCTCACATTTTAGTGGCCAGTTTTGAATATAGCTTATCTCCCTGGAATGTGGGAGCCCTAGCAGAGCCAGAGCCGGAAGCAGCTGACGTGGCTCAGCCCAACCTCAGGAGCTAGGGCACAGGCCCCAGCTGCTCCTGCCCCATTCCCAGGCAGCCAGTGCCCTGCTTTCTGCTGCTCCCAGGAGGAGAGGGGAGGAGCAAGGACACACTGCTCCACTAGAGGCAGCGGTCGAAGGATTGCCGAAAGGGTGTTGTGTACTTGGTGTGTGACCCGCACTGTATGCTCGGGCACCATGGCAGTGCCAGGAGGAGGAGGGCCCTGCGCCCGAGCCGAAGTCACAGAGAAGCTGCAGCTTGGAGGCAACCGTGCTGCCCTGTCCCCAGGCAGCGGTTCTCAGCCATGGGCAGTTTTATTCCCTGGAAGACAGCTAGTGTTGTGTGGTGGCATGTCTTATTGTCCCCACTTGGGAGGGGAAGTAGGTATATGACCCTGGCTCCTGGGGGTGGAGGTCAGGGATACTGCTAATGATCCTGTTCCACTGGGCTCCCTCTCCCTGCGCCCCCACATCTACGGTCTGGTCTGCAGTAAGCACTTCCAGGTTGGGACCTGCACCGTGACCCTGGTCTGCATCTCCCCCGCGCCTCTCTTCACCATGGGGAGGGTCTGTGCCTGGACTCAGGAAGACTTGGGTCTTCTTGTGCCTGGGGACACCCAAGCCTTCCCCACAGACAGTATGGCATTCGATCTTCCCTCAGCCTCAGCGGGCTTCCCAGGGCCCCTGTGCTGAGACTTGGCACTGCTGTCCTTTCCTGCCCTCTCAGAGCTCTGTACTAAAGGCATAAGCAGGGAAGTAGCCCAGGCTGGACAGTCAGGAAAGTCACCGAGGCTCAGTGTCACATCCTAGACAGCCAGGCAGCCCCACACAGGTGTAAGAGCCAGAATGAGTGACCCGGCTGGAGGTCTGAGGTGGAGACGGGAGACTGAGCAGGACCCCAATTCTCTGGCAAACGGCAGCAGCAGTGGGTGAGATGGAGCCTGTGTGGCTGGAGGGGAGAATGGGGTAAGGAGTCACAGGAAGTAGAAAGCTGGGGACCCCTCTACTTTAGGCCCTCACAAGATGGCAGTTTTGCTTTGTCAGCTGGTAGCTAGGAAGTGTGGTGTGACGGGACATGGCGTATAGCTGGCACCCCTTGAGAATGGCTGGCTGTGCGGCCTCTGTGTGGTACGGGCCCTCTCTGTGTGGAACTGCTGTTCCATGGGCTGAGCTTGCCCAGGTTGGGGGTGCCCTGTGCTGAAAGCTCTTTGGGGACAGAGGCTGGCATGACCCATTTCCTCAGGAAGAGGCCAGGGGTGACTCTGTGTGTGTGTGTGTGTGTGTGTGTGTGTGTGTGTGTGTGTGTGTGTGTGTGTGGTGGGCAGGCACCATGGCACTGTCCGTGAGGTTGGCCTGAATGCGGGTGCTGGGCCAGGTGGGGAGGGCCCTGGTAGGCTCCCAGTCATGAACTCAGGTTTCTCATCATAGAGGTGAGGCTGGACAGGTGCCCTGCAGATACCCTGGCATCCTTCAAGATTTATGCAAGGGAAGGTGTGAGGCAGAGGGTCCTGCCTCTCCTCTAGGAGGTGGGGCAGGGCTCCCACCAAGGGTCCCCGGGCTCGACTGCCAACGCCCTGTCTCCACAGACCTGCAGCCGGTCACCTACTGCGAGCCGGCCTTCTGGTGTTCCATCTCCTACTATGAGCTGAACCAGCGCGTCGGGGAGACGTTCCACGCCTCACAGCCGTCCATGACGGTGGATGGCTTCACCGACCCCTCCAACTCGGAGCGCTTCTGCCTAGGCCTGCTGTCCAACGTGAACAGGAATGCGGCGGTGGAGCTGACGCGGAGGCACATTGGTAACGTGCAGCCCGGGGTGCCCTGCCTCGTTTCGCAGCCCTCAGGGTTTTCTGGTCCCCCACAGGCAGCGTTCAGGGTGGTCGGTCACTCCCACCAGGGTGCCAGGGGACAGGCGTCTCACATCTGGAGCCAGGTAGCCAAACCTCTCATGGCAACAGGAAGGGGAGTCTGTGGGAAAGGTGACGCAAGGGTTTTTAAAATAAAAACACCCTTTAAGTTCAGGGAGGTTGACAAGTAGGTTGTGATTCTTGGAAGAATGATCTTTAATTTCTTAGGTGATTTTCCTAGACCATGTAGAAAAGGTAGACAAAAGTGGCCTGACCTTACGACGCCTAAGCCAGACACGCAGAAGAAGCTGAGCTGGGGGGCAGAGGAAGCTGAGCTGGGGGGTCCTTGGTTTGTTCAAGTTATTTTACAGCTGTGGTCAGATACTCTCAGGCATTAATGTGGAACCCCAAGGGTCAGCTAGGGGGCTCCAGGGCCAACCTGGGGGGCTGGGGCGTGCCCTAGAGGCACCTCTGCTCTGGCTGGCTGGTTCTGGACTCTCAGGAGAGTCTGTTTGAAGAGCAGAGTCTGCAGTTGAGAAAAGGGGCTGGGGGGCCACGAGCTCAGGGCAGTGTGCTCGCCATGATCTGGGGCTTTCCTGGCCTGGCTCTTCTCCCTGCTCTTGCTCTCCTTCTGTCCCAACTTCTGAAGGATGAGGAGAAGAAATGGGCACCCTGAGAGAGGGATGGTCGCAGATGGGAGATGAAGAAGGGAGGATGAGTGGTACACAGCCCCTCATCAGCTCCCACCCTCTGGACTTGCCACGCCCAGCCCTCGGCCTCCTCCCCAGGAGTGGGAGGAGCAAGACTCCCACAGGGCACATGGGGGGGACAGCCCCTGGCTGAGTGCTGAGCTGAGCGTTTGCATAACTGTTGGAACTGCACAGCTTATTTAAAAATAATTCCTGTCCATCTGGAGTGGATTTAAGAGATGAAGGAAAAATAAATGATAGAAACTTACAAACTACTTTAGAAGAACACACAGAGGGGTCACATCGCCCCATCCCTGGTGCCCAGAGCCCTGGGGGGTTTTGGAATGAACCTCTGAATCTGGGGGTGGGATGAGAAGGGGCCAAAGGGTGGTGGCAGGCACTGCTGTGTCTCACAGTGCCCGTGAGGGAGGCGCTGCCACCCTGCTTTCTAGGCCACACGTTGGAAATGTGATTGCAGGCCATGGCTTGTCCTTTTTCTTGTCATCATAGGCTTGTCCTGCATGAACCCAGTGCTGCCTGTGGGTTCCTCGTCTAGCTCTCAGGCTTGGGCTCTGGGTCCTGCTCGCCTGGGGACATGGGGAGCAGCCGCTACAGCTCTGCCTCCTGTGCATCGTGGGTGGCCCAGGTCACTGTGTGGGCGCTAGTACCCTGATCCAGTCTAACCTGTCTCTAGGGAGAGGCGTGCGGCTCTACTACATTGGAGGGGAGGTCTTTGCAGAGTGCCTCAGCGACAGTGCTATTTTTGTCCAGTCTCCCAACTGTAACCAGCGCTACGGCTGGCACCCTGCCACCGTCTGCAAGATCCCTCCAGGTGAGTGAGCCCCCGCCCTGCAGCACAGCCCTTCCCCACCTCCTCTCCTCTCCAGCATCTGCTCAGTCAGCCTGGAGGGGAGGCGACAGTGCTTCCTCCGTGCTCACTCCGAGCAGTCTGTGGGGCCTGCTCCGGACCAGGGGGGGTGCAGATGCTCTTCTTCCTCTGCATGTTCCATCCACACACAACCCTTCCACGGCGTACAGGGTCTGTGCCAGGTGCCGGAGGGCAAGGGTGGCGCCCTGCTCCTGTCTCCACAGGTCTGCAAGGGCCATGCGCTGTGTGTGGCACAGACCCAGATGAACAGAACGCCAGGGTGGGTTGCTGAGCCCAGGCACGTGGCAGAGGGGGAGCGCAGCACAGCTGCCGGAGGTCAGGGAAGGCTTGCAGAGCGCACGGCGTGGCACTGGGGGACTGGGTAGAGCCCTGGAGGCAGAGAGGATACTACAACCAAGACATGACAAGAAAGTCCATGGAGGTGATGTTTGAGGCCATGCTGGAACCAGGCTGTGGCTCTGTCCTGGGGAACTGTTGAGTTTCCTGAGGCTGATGGACCCAGGAGCCCAAGAAGGAGTGCCGGGCCAGGCCGGGCCGGGCCCCAAATGCTCTGCACAGTGGGCTCCAGTAGGAGGTGCTTTCTCTTTAAGTCGAGGCAGAGGGCAGCCCTCCTGTCACACAAAGGCCCCAGGCCAGGCCTGGCTGGTGAGCTCGTACCTGGCCCAGCCACCACCCACACAGTGACAGCATTTGCATGGAGACATGGGCCAAGGGCAGGGCAGACCTCAGAGTGCAAGAAATCTGAGGTGCTCGTGATGCCACGAGGTTCCACTGTATTTTGTAGCCGCAGTTAAGAGGACACGTGCATCCTTGATCTCACCTAATCCTCGCCGCCAGTCACTCCTCAAGTAAGGCAGTGAAGGTGGAGGGGCACAGAGGGGTGGAGAGCCACGTGCACAGGGACATACACCTGCCTGGAGCCCAGGGCTGACAGCACATCCAGTGTTGTTCTGGGGGCTGAAGCGAGTTTCACCCTGCTCTCCCAGCACAGTGCCTCAGAGCTCAGGGAAGCGCAAGTGCCCTTTTGTCTCTCTACTGCCTCCTCAGCCGGCCCAGGGCATTTGGAGGTTGCCAGCTCACAGAATGTCAGAACTGGGATGACCTTGGAGGCCAGCCACATGTTTTAAGGGAGACACAAAGTCAGGGACAAGAGGTGACTGACACAGAGCCACACAGCAAGATTAGGAGCTGGTGCTGGTCTCTACCTTGGCTCTCCTTGGCTCACCTTTGTTAGGCTGGCATGTACTTTGTCCGTTTCTGATTGACACATTCCTGGCTTTCAGACAGCGGTACTTCAAAGGAGAGGTTTATTTTAAACTTTTATTTGTGCCTGCATCTAGTTTTCCTGTCTGGAGAATTAGAGGCACACCTTCCCTTTGCTGTGTCACCAGGACCCAGCCTGTGCCCAGAGGGCAAGCTGTGACCCAGATCTCCTTCTCCTGGCCCATTCCACTGAGTGACCTGGGCCCAGGTGATGGCCACATCGGCACAGCACAGGTCCCTCTCCTCTCTACATTTGGAGTCTGGCCTAGGCCCCCTGGCCCAGGGCCGGGCTCACCTTTCTTTGTGGTGCTCGTGTCCTTGGTGGCCCCATTCATAGTCCACTTTCTGTGTTCCTGTGACTGAAGGGGTAGAGCTGTGGGGCATCGTCTTGGAGGGCAGGAGCCGAGCACGTCACCCCTTGAGTGGTGTGAAGTGTGGAGTCTGTGACTGGTGCTTGGACTGGCCATGCACCACCTGCGCTGTGTGATTTAAGCCAGGGAGACCCAGGATGGCTTTCCCAAGAGGGGACCCACAGCCACGCATCTGTGCCAGCAGCACTGTCCTTTTTCTGCCTGCAGGATGCAACCTGAAGATCTTCAATAACCAGGAGTTTGCTGCGCTGCTGGCTCAGTCTGTGAACCAGGGCTTCGAGGCTGTCTACCAGCTGACACGCATGTGCACCATCCGCATGAGCTTTGTTAAAGGCTGGGGAGCTGAGTACAGGTCAGTGTCAGGGACCCAACTCTGGGTAACTCGGAACAGCAGAGCTGAGGCTCCTTTGAGATGAGTGGGCCTGGTCTCCCGCCATGGATTAGAGGGAGGCGCAGGCAGGCAGGCAAGTCAGCCCTGGGCGATCGCATTTGCTAGCACTCAGTGTCATCAGCGCATACGTCCCATGTTAGCCTCACATAGCCCTGGGTGGGGATGTGGCCATCATCCGCACGTTCAGATGGTGGGGCTTAGGAAGAACAGGAAATTGCCTGATGGCCCTTCAATGGGAGATACTGAACCAGCACTCTGCCCTCCAGGTGGCTGCTTCCTTTCTACCAGCCGGGGCAGGGGGATTTAGAGTGGTCACCCCAGGAGGTGAAGCCCTCAGCTGTGGCTCTATCCCTGACTCAGACTGTGGTGGCCCGAGCACACAGGACAATGACGGGAGACCTTTTAGAGCTTTTCAAGCTAACAGCCTGTCACAGCTGATGCGCCGTAGGTTCACCACTGCTGATCTGCGGTATTGAAGATGAGAATCTAGAAGGGCGGGGTATTTGAGTACATACAAAGGAAGACAGTTTATGTGTGCAGAACTTGTGTTAGAATTCTAGACAGTATTTTAAATGTGGCCCTGATCCCAGGTGTTGCTCAGCGGTCATGAGCAGTTAGGTCCTTTCCTCTCCACACCTTGCCCAGCCCCCAGCTCCTGGGCAGCCAGACGCAGAGGTGCCCACACGTCAGCGGGAGCCAGCGCCTTCCAAGTTACTCTTCACTTCTCTCCACTTTTCCAGATGTTTGGCATCTGTTTTGTTTTGCAGTCATTCTGCACACTGGCCAAACCATTTCAGTGCTGGCCCAGGGCCACCATTTATAATGAAGTCCCGATGAGCATGACTTATGGAAAGTCAGATTCTCATTAGAGGATTTCACTCTGTAAAACCCTCCTCCTTTTACTGTATTTTAGCTCCTGTTCTTCTGTGTCTGCCCCATGGTGCCAGAGAAAGGGGCTCCCTGGTCCCCTGCATCTGTGAAATCCAGGAAGTGACCATGTAAGCAGTCAGTGTAGTCAGAGCCCTGGGGAACTCAGGACCATGTTATGACGACCTGCAGAGATTAGTCCAGGCCAGGAGGTCTGGCAGGAGAAAGATTTTAACCGACCTTTTAGCTCTAGCCTGGGTCGCTTAGGGAATAGGAGTGAAAGGTTAGAAAATTAGTATTTTAGTGGGGAAGGGAAATATTTGAAGATGGAGCCCAGGGGAGATCCAGGAGGTCCAACGGCTCCTCTTCTTCCTCTGCTCTAGTCCAGGGGCCAGCTGCAGGCATCCTCCACTCACCAGACAGCAGGGTACTGGCCACCTCCAAGCCACCCCTCTCCACCAACACACAGGGCCCTGCAGCTCCCAGTGGTGGGAGGCGGCCCCATGCTAGTGGACCCCTCTCTGTGGGGACAGTGTTGCTGCTTAGGACATCCTGCCAGCACACCCAGTCCTATGGGGACACTGCGTCACTGCCGCCTGGCGGCCACACAGCACCCAACAAGCAGGCATGGCCCCTTCCCAGAACAGTTTCGTCTGTGGGCCAAGGAGTGAGGTTTCAGCTGGGTCCCTGAAGAGGCCAAAGCGGGGCGCAGGGCCCAGGCTGGCGTTTCCAGCTGGCCTGGCCTCCGCATTGATAGCCCATGCTCAGCGAAGGCCAGCACGTCAGCAGCCAGCCTAAACTCAGACAAAGTGCTTTGGGGAAAAGAAACGTGCGCCTTGGTTTTTTCCAGTAATTCTTCTACAGCTAGCTCTACTTGTAAGATTTTCCAAAATAAGGCTGTAAATGAGAATCCTAGCAGAATGCTGGGAACCCAAGGCGCATGGATTCCAGGCGCGCTGTACAAACCTCTCCATCAGGCCGACCCATGTCACTGTGGGCTGCTGGGGCTGGTCAGGGTCTTGACCTGGGGAGCTGCAGGTGCCCATCTGATAGGGAAACAGCCAGAGAAGGAAGCCCCTTCTCTGGGTGCCCTGGGATTGACCTTATGTGCATAACACCCATTTATACCAAAGATTGGAAGTTTTTGAATTTTGACATGAAATTCACATATATTTCCTAGAAAAATTCAAAGAACAAGAATTTGAAATCATTTCATTTATGTTCCATTGTTGTAATGGATCGCCAGGGATAAAAGGATGAAGGCCCTCCTCCTTCCCCCTGCAAAGGAGCTGATCCAAGTCCTCCTTGGCTGGAGCAGTTTGCCTGGTAGTTCAGCAACTTACGTGTACAAACCTTGGGGCAGCGTTCTACAGGGTGGGCTGTATTGCTGATTCAGGGAAGAGGCCCCTCGCCAAAGCAGAATGTATTCTGACCCAGCTGAGGGCTCCTCTGGATATTTAAGCCTGTTGCCCCTCCGTCTTTGCAGGAGACAGACGGTGACCAGCACCCCCTGCTGGATCGAGCTGCACCTGAACGGGCCTCTGCAGTGGCTGGACAAGGTCCTCACACAGATGGGCTCCCCCAGCATCCGCTGCTCCAGTGTGTCCTAGAGGCCCCAGCACGCAGAGGGAGGCCGGCTCGGGGCAGCGGCCAGGGAAGAGACGGAGAGCAGAATTCTACCCGACCTGCTCCTGTCGAGGAAGAAGTAGGTTTTCTCCCTCAACTGAGGCGGCACTAGCCTGTTCTCATGACACACAGAAGCAAACCCAGGGACGGATCTTATGAACAGCGGTGTCTGCTGAACCCACGTGCCCTCGGCCCAAGTCTGAAGGACAAGAAGTGGCTTTGGCGCTGGTGGAGTGAGTGAACAGGTCTTGTTAACAGCCTGCCTTCCCCAGCCTTCTTTTCCAAGGACAGCAACCTGGGATGTCAAGAGTCCAACAGCAAAGGCCCTCTGTCCAGGGCTGGGGTGTGGAACCCACCTTGGAAGGCCCTTCCAGCTCCCTGGCATCCTCGACAGACCTTGCTACCGTGTTTTGCAGCCAAAGCCCTCCACGCCGGCACAGTGGGTGAGCCTGGCGGTGGCAGGAAGTGCCCTGCTGGCCCACCCCTCTCTCCAGGCACCGATTGGGGCGAGGAATGTGGTCTGCAGGATGTGCGCCGTCTCCTCCTCGGAAGCTCTTTATTCTCCCTTGGGATCTGCTGGGGCTGTGTGTATGCAGTGTGGTGTTCCTTTATCTTATCAATCTCAACGAGATTTGAGCGACATTAAGTGTTCCCAAGAGGCAAGGCTGAGCAATGCTGTGCCGGGGGCAGCTCTGGCACCCAAAGTGCTTGCTCCATATTGCAATGCACACAGCTATGTTGGTTCAGTAGTCAGCTGCATTAAGTAAATCAGTTTTACCATATGCTCTTTTAAAGGTTTTATATTTAAAAAAAAAAAATACTGGGTAGGTGCATGGACTGGGGAGGCCAGAGCCAGAAGGGCACTACTTCCTGCTCGCCTCAAGGTGAAGCCCTGCCAGGGTGTGTGGAGGAGCCGCCTGCTGGCACTTGGGGAAGCTGGAATTTACAGAAGCAAATGCACCAGAAGGGAAACATCTCAGGCCAACACAGGCATATGAAAGGGCTATTAAAATTTTTTTATACCTTTGAAAATTGCAGGCTTGGTGTAAAGAGGTCTGTCATCTCCACCCTGGGATGGAAGATTATCTAGCTCACCGTGGAGGCCCATCAGCGACAACCACAGCAGCGATCCTGTGTAATAAGTACTGCTCCCAGTGGCAATTAGGGAGAGAACTAGTATAAATTATTTCAACTGGAAAAAAAAAGCCCTCTCTCTTACTGACCTTTTTTGGAATACAGCAGACAGGACTGACACCTGCAAATGGTACTTTACTCTTCGCTGCTTTTTTTTTTTTTAATGACTTCTCACATCTCTGCATGGATTTATACCAGAAAAAAAAAGGATTTCCTATGGAAGTCCTTTCTTATTCCAGGTAAGGGAAGAAAGTGTAACTTTTGGCATGTTCTCAACCTCAATGTGATGAAATTTCTGATGTTTAGTGAAGACTTGCGGCACTTGTTGGTGCCCCCCCCCCCCCCCCGGGATCCTGCGCCCTGTAGGTGGAGCCTTGGGATGTCTGGGTAGGCGCAATGCTCCTCACGCCTTCTGAGGACACAGGAAGAGGAGGGAGGTGCGCCATGCTGGACCTGTGCCGATCCTCTTACGGGGAAGCCGACCCAGAACCCAGGGAACTCTGCACTTCCTCCGCAGCCCGATCACCTCGGACCTGGCTCAGTGATCCAAGGACTCCTGCCCTCTTGCCCTCCCGGACGTGTACGCATGTTCCCGGTCAGTTCTGAGACTCGGGGCAAGAATGCTCCACTCGAGCCTCTGTGGCGCGATCACGGCCCCTCTGGCAGGCCGTGGGCAGTGGTCCCTGGAGGCCTGTGTTCCCCACCTGCTGTGTGATCTCTCGGAGGCTTCCTGGCAGTCATCCTCCAGGTGCTTGGAATCCAGCGTCAGGGACAGCCTGAGTCTGGAAGGCAGGCCTCTGGCGTGGCTGTATTTAGATGGTATCAGAGCCGTCGGTACCCACACCTGATGGCTGCATCTAGGAGGCACGCAGTTTGGATTTTATGTTGCTCCATGGCTGTTTCCTTGGCCTCTCCCTTCCCAGAGCACTGGAGGAGGACGTATGAGGAAACCATAAGCAAGCTCTGGCAATACATTGGAGCATACTTGGAGGCTGGCCAGGGCTGCTGCCCGTCACAGTGCGCCAGAGTCCTTCAGCCTGTGTAGTGTCCTTCCTTAGTTTTACATCCTGTTATACAAACGGCGTTTATACACTTAAACACTTCTTTAAAGGTGGCTGTTGGATAGCAGTTTTAGGCATGGTTCTCAGGCCACGTGACTTACCTGTGTTGGCCCCGGTGCAGAGGTGCAACCAGCATTCAGTCCTTGTCCTACGCCACACCCCTCCTCACCGACTTCATTTCATAGCGCAGCATATACAGAGCCTGTGCCCCACGTCACCCCAGCTGACTACCTTCCTGCCAGGCTGCAGCGAGGAGACCCGACCTTGTGGGAGGCACCACGAGTTGAGGGGGGGACTCTAATTCCAGGGTGAGGCCGCAGGCAGACAGTTCTACTGTCCTGATGTTGTCTGTTTTTTTTTTTTACTGACCATGGTGATTATTTTTTTAAAAAATTGTTAATGTATTGAAATGAGCTATAGCACAGACCACGTGCTTGGTCTGTTTTGTTTCCCTCCATCTCCCCCTGGCTTCCTAGCGCTTGGACATACTCCAGGACTAAACACCCTACCAGATCGCAGAGAAGGGTTTTCTGTAAGCAGCATGTGCTTGTCAGGCGCGGACAGGCGTCTCGGGGGGATGGCAAACGCTGGATTTCCTTGTTGGCCCCACTGCCCCTTCCAAGGCTACGAGTAGCAGCTGGGAGAGGAGCCTCCGCGGCTTGTAGGACTGACTGTTGTTTCTGAGGGGGCTGCTGGCTGCAGTGCAGGCGCATGCTTAGACGCGTGCTCTCACTGTGTGGTTTTATGTGGTCAGTGCTGGGACTTTTTTCCAAAACTCCACATTTCTCCACCTTATGGGAAGAAACCCAAGAAAACGGCACACAGCTAAGTGGTGCCATTTTCCCTCACGTGGCATCAGTGTCCCCTCACGGAAGTCTGTACCAGCCTTTTCCCACTTGGGGAGCACTGGGCGCATCTCGGGTGGAAAGGGCGTGGGTCACAAAGGCCTCACCTCAATGGGGGGTGTCAGCCTGTGACACCCTGGCACCCCTTAGAAACACAGCTTTGACAGGAAGGAAACCAGCAATTTGTGTAACTGGACTGAGAAATTGTGATTCTGTCATTTTTTTTTTTAATGTAGAAGTAATGCATTACTGTAGCATTCTGGTGTTTTTATATTTATATAATAATTTCTTAAAAACCATTCAGACAGATTACTATTTAATTTTTTAAAAATACACATGGAAGATGTCTCCTAAGGACAGTGGCTGGAAGAGACTGGCACAGCCAGCTCAGTCCTGGTGGAGAGTGTAGGGGCCCTTTCAGTTTGGATCGGAAGCAGCAAACCAGGCTGGCTCAGCAAACAGCCCCACATGTGAAAACTGGCAGCTCTGAGTCAAATCTGGGCCCTCTGACAGCGCCCTTCACTAAGGGTGAAAACCTCCCCCAGAGACACAGAGCTGTCTTTATAGCGAAGCCTGCACCAGCCGCAGTGCCTGGCTGCAGCCCCGCAAGTCTGCTCTGGTGGGCGGGAGTGGGCTGGACCGGGCGGGAGGATGGGACTCCCTTTGCTGTTCAGCCAGTCTCTTAATCTCTGTAAAAAGCATGTATGTATTTATAGTGTTTTAGTTTTTTCTAACTTTTGTATCTTAAAGCAGAGCCCCCGTTTAAGCATTGTATCCCCCTTTGTTAAAGACGATTCACGCTGCCTCTCCCTGTCTCGTGCTCTGGTAAGTGCCCTTCTAATAAACTGTTCATGAAAAGCTCCTACACCAGGAGCTCAGTCTGATTGTTGTTGTTATCTTTGGTGGAGAGACTCAGCAGCGAACTGGCTGCAGAGGGAAAAGTGTGCAAGTCCTGGGCACTCAGATCTGCAGCGCAGTGCCACGGTGGTGCTGCTGCGGGCCTCCCCATGCACCGGGGTGCCGCTCGGCGCTCAGGGACGTGTTATCCACGCAAGAATCACCCCTCTTGCTCCCTCCGTGTAAACCCTGCCTAGTCCCTCTGATGCTCTCCGAGGCCACCCCAACCTCTAGCCCAGCCACCTCTGGCTTTTCTTGGCCTCTGCTAGCAGCAAAGCATCCTCAGCATACTATCACCCTCTCTTAAATGCAGTATCCGTCTTCCCACAGATAGTTTAAACTAACAGGGATTACGTTTCCATACTGTCCAGCTCAGAGGCCTGTCAGTGAAAATTCATTTTGATCTCCAGGTCCCAGCAAGAGAGCTCAAAACTGTTTCTGGGACTTAAGATAATCATGATGTAAAATGCCATTTGTTTTGATCATTTGGCATTTGAAAAGGCACAATTTGGGGATGGCAGCTGCAGAGACAGCAGCTGGACTTGGCCTCTAGTGAGGGCTCTGCAGCAGTCCTGAAAGGGCTTCGCCTGACCCCTCCCCACTCCAGGCAGGAGGCCAGGCCATAGTAAGCGCGCAAGGGGCCACCACACTTGGCCTCCACGAAATGCACCTGGTACCTGCCTTAGGATTTTTCCAAAAGGCCTTGCCCGAAGTTCTGTGGGTCTCTCAACAGCTGACCCAAATCAGTGACTCTAAATCCCAACACATTATTAGACGTGACCCAGCTTCCACACCAGCCCTTCTCACCTCTGTTTAGCGACAGCCTCTCCCCTTCTGCTTCTCGGCAGCACAGTGCACCTCTTCTTGCTCAGTATGTCCTGGCTGAGCACCCCCCCCCCCCGGTCTCCTCAGCCGTCTCACACGGGCTGCTGTCTCGGGCCTGCAGTCCTCCTGGACTGGAGTTCCGGGACCACTGGCTGCTCGGTACTCCGTGCTCTCTGAGGGACTGCATCAACCCTTAAAATTTCAAACCACACAAATACGGACGATTCCCCATCAGTAGCACAGTGGACATCAGCTACTACCTTCAGTTTCTGTTCACCAGCCTGCTGGCTACTGGTGCCTGCAAGAGGACAGTGACTGCGAACCCCGCAAAGAGCCCACCACGGCCCGTGCGCCATCACTTCACCACGCCTGCATTAGGGCCTCAAGCTGATGATGTGCGGGGCGCAGTTCATCTCCTTGTTAAAGCACCTTCCTGTCCTCCAGGCTTCAGCCCACCTTTTGGCACAACCATTTTCCTAACCTCCACCCACCGAAGCCCCTGCGACGTGGTCCCTTTGCTCCCCACACCTCCCATTCGCCCTGGTTCCACACTCCCCCACGTGCACTGGCTTCCTAACTGGTCCCCCAGCCTCCAGCCTGATCTCCTGCAGTCACATGGCTGGTGCTGGCCTTCTGATACTGTAACAAAATACCTGTGACAACGAGGGTTTGCCTCCCAGCTTTGAGGTGTTAGCCCACGGATGCTTGGTTGCACGTTGCTGTGCATCATGGTAGCCAGGAGGCAGAGACAGAAAAGTGCCAGGATCCCAGCACCCTTCTGAGGTCTTGCCTCCAATGACCCGAGGCCTGTCCACTAGACCACATCTCTTAAAGGGCCCACTACCTCCCAGTGGTGTCACAAGCCATTAGTGTTCCCCACTGTCTTCAGTCCACAGCACAAACTCTCAGGACTTTATCATGGGACACCAGCCACTGCCTTTCCCCATTGAGCTCCGACCATTCCCTGCCTTGCCCTCTGCAACCTGGGCAACTATAGTTCTGCGTTATCCTCATCCCTGTGACTGGCTGGAACATCAGCCTTTCTTCTCTGCTCTCCACCACAAAGAGTTCTGTTGGCTTTCACTGATGCCTGGCAATTTGGCTAACACATCTCCTCCAGGAAGCCTCCTAACTGGTCCCCCAACCTCCAGCCTGACCTCCACTAGCGAGTGTGTTTGTCGCCTCAGGCCTGTCCACTGTGTGCTGTCTCCCTTCTTAGCTGCGAGTTCCTGGGAGCAGCGCTTAAGTTTTATTCTTGTCCCTTGGCTGCTTTTGGGCGTGACATCTTTGCTGAGTAAATGAATCAGCTGGTGCCCTACCGAGTAGGTTCCAGCCCAGCAAGTCTCTTGCATGCCTTTCCACTGGGTTAGTCTCCTGTGAGTCCTTTCCTATGAAAATGGCACCAAAACATAGTTTGTGCTTACCTTTTATTAGAGCGCTCCAAAGTTCTAGAATTTGTCCTCCCTTTATTCCAGGGGTAGCAGAATACGTGGGCAAATGAACTCCTGTCCCGTGTCTCCGTCCATGGCCAAGATCTCCAACCACCAGGCTGGGTCCACTCCTGGTCTCAGAATCCTTCTTCACACAGTTATCACTGATGGGATCTGGCCACATCTTCCTGAAGTGTGTTTAAGGCTGGGTGGCTTTTCTGCCCAAAACCTATGGTTCCCAGGCTCCTCCACACTTGGGACAGACACCACAAGTTCCTCTGATGTCACTCTGACCTTACCCACCATCATGCTCTATCTGGATTTTTCTAACAGGCGTGTTGCTTTAGTTCCATAACTGTCTGCACTGTAACTTAAGACTTCTGCTACCTCTTCTCTACCCAAATCCTTCATCGTTACAGCTCAACCCAAGCGCTGCTTCCCCTAAGTCGTTGGCACTTCAGCATGCACCAGCAGCACCACTGGGCAGAGCGGAATATGCTCTCCGGCCTCACTCAGGCTGCTCCATCTTGCTCAGGCTTCCAGCCAAGTCCCACATGCTCTCTGTCCAGCAGTACTGCTCTGAGATGCACCCTACTCCGCCCACCCCAACCTGCTGCCTTCTCCCATAGCAATGAGGCTGGTCACGGCACGCCTTGTATTCCACCTGGCATTCTGCTGTGACCTTGTCCTGTTTGTCCTGTACTGCCATCAAAGATGGGTTCTGAGTGCCTGGAAAAGACAAACCACATCCTTGAGTCTCTGCCCTCCACCGTGCCTCGTTCTGAGTCTGGCACCAGAAGGTCACTTCAGAGCTGGTTGGACCCTGATCCTTGTTTCAGCCCTCACGGGTCCAGAAGGATGAGTCTGAGGCTATCTCACTGTGTTAACAACATCCCGGGAGTTTCCTGGAGAGGTATAATGGTACAGACCATGGCTTGAACTTCAGAACAAAAGAATCTTTCAAACTACACTGATGTTTCCATGAAGTGCTGACCACCCTTACCCCACACCTTACTTAGCCCGCACTTCCACAGCATTAAAACCACTTGGTAGAGAACACAAAGGGCAGAGGCACTGACGGACTATGTCCTTGAGCACAGAAGCAGGTGGCCTCCTCATTAGCAAGCTGACCATGAGTGACTTCCACAGTGCCTATGGAGGACACACAAGGGGTTGAGAAGAATTTTCTTTCTTCCCCCAAAGCCTGTGTTCTAAAGATGCAGTAATGACCATGAGGGCCAGGTTTTGAGTGCACAGTTCTCTAATATGCAACAAAATAGAACTATATCACTGGAGAGCTGCAGTGGGGCTCGGAGGTGCTCTGAGAAAAGGTGCACCGTTAGTCTTTCCTCTACTGCTCGCTCCTCATTCTGTAAGGGGGGAACAACTTGGAATCGAGTAAGACATTTCTGACACTAAAACAACCCCATGTAAAGATGCCTACATGAAGACTGAAGCTTGTGACATTAGTAACAGTCCTAGGTGATGCCAAAATAAACCTGAGAGACTTTCTCAGACCTTTTCTGCAAACCTACACATCAGGACCACAAGGGTGGTGGATCGTTAAGCCGCAAAGGGAAACTGAGTCAGAAGCCAGAATCCTGCTTCATACATTCAGCATTGTACTTTACGAAGCACACTGTGGGAATGCGGAAAGAGAACACTGTTCTCTTAAGCTTATACCAAGGTGGTACTAGGTTCAATATAATTGACCAGATTTTATATTTTCTCTACCTATAGTCCTCTAGCAAGATTTGATATGTGATGCTACAGTGCTGTGACTAAACTGTCTAGTGTGAGTGGGAGGGTGTGAGTGTGTGTGTGTGTATGTGTGTGTGTGTAGGGTGTGAAAGGCGGGTCTAACTTACCAGAGCAGTCACTGAAACTATAAATGACAATGGTCTCTGAGTTAGGCCACTGACCTCACAAGGTACAGGCCTGCTAAATTTACCTCAGCACTGGCCAAAATTCCAGCTTAGAACAGTCTCAGCTTACCCTCAGACAGGTTCTCCCAAGAGTGCTTTTCCACAGCAGGCCAGGCAGGGCCGGGGCTACTCCACATGCTCTCTCAATGGCCACTGTGGAGACATGGACTGCCTCAAGGTTAGAGGAATCTGACAAGCCAGCACAAAAACGCTGACCCTGCCTCCCCACAGAGGGAACATGAAGTTAGCTGTGTCACTTTTCACGTGTTACCAGCAGCTCGCAGGGACGCCCAATATGCTCTGCGGTCTGGGGCCACATGCTACCATCCCCCGCCATCTAAGTCTAGTTGTCCCTGGACCCCTAGTTTCCCTCATCCGATGTGAACAAGGCCTATAAATAGAAAGCAAACAAAATGGTTCTGTCAATCTTCTCATATCCTGGCAGGACAGCCTATTTTAAAACTATAAAAATATCTACGTCTTCACTGCTCTAAAATTATTATACAACACATGATATTCCTGGGAGGGGTGTTTATTCCTGTCTCTCCCCACTTCCAGCACTCTCAGATTTTTAACTGTGATTATCTTCACCAGACACGAGCTATACCTTCCAATGAGGGCTGAGGGGCTACTACATGCCAAAAACTGCTGTGTGACAGAATGTTTAAGAAAAACGCTCACTCTCTTCCAATGCCAGCTGCATGGTCTATAATGGGCACACAGGTCAAATTAGAGACAGCAACTGTTTCTGCAGTGTTAGCTTGAGATCAGTCTTCTAAACACGACCAGTAGCACACACCCCAAGAGGCCTTTATCCTGCATGTGCCCCTGAAGGGTTCCATGCCCCAAGAGCTGAGACCTTAAAGCCTGAGCACACACTACGTACAGGGCTGGTGGCTTCTAACAAGAGGCGTCTGACAAACCCTCAGACTTTGCTGTACGCGCCTAACCCAAAGGAGGAGGTAAGGCTTACCCCACCCAGACCCCTACTGAAAACCAACAAATTCCTAATACCACACATTAGCAGGCTCTGGAAATAAATCACATTTTAATCACCTGGCTGTGCTAGATACATAAAATTAAGTTCATAGATTTTTTTAAAAAATCTGTTTCTCTTAACAATGTGGCCTAATATATTTTCTAAAATTTTCTAATAGAGACATATATGTTATGCCTTCCCATCAATGTAAAAGCCAATTTCCCTTCCATTTTTAATCAAGGGGTAACAAAGCCTCCTCAGGAATTACCACCTCAGAGAAGCACAGTCACCCCAGATCAGTTGGCGCACACATGCAGAGAGCTTCAGAAAGAGGCGGGGGAGAGGCAGCAAGCAAGGCAGTGTCCTCTGTTCCCTGGGATGCCTCTTCCTGAAGGCTCCACTCATGGGCTGACACCTCCTGGGTGGCCCGGTAGCCTCTGCAACTTTCCATTCTCTGCTGTCTCAGGCTCCCCAGGGCCTACACAGTGGTACCTCAAGAGGGCCTGAGCTTGGTTTCGCTCATGACCTAACCTTGTTCCCTCCACTCCAGGTTCAGCGCCACCCTCAGCCAGAAGGAGCTCTGGGCCTGTGTGCCAGCACCACTGTCCACACCGCTGAGACAGTCTGGAGCCATAGCAGTGACAGATCAGAGGGTGGGTGACACATACTATGCATGTGTCCACCGAAAAAGAAACTGAGATTTTTATTTGTTGTACCTTCCACTCTTTTTTGAGACTCTACTTTGGATGGTTGGCTTTTCTGGGGCTGACCTCTCCCACATCCATACGGCCCTGGATAAAAGACACAGGACTGTCCCCACAGCTACTGCCAGAAGGGCTCACAGGGAAGAGGCCTCCACACTGGGAGAGAACAAGGCGCTCAGGTGCACCGTTTACTGCTTCACCCCTGCTCAGAGAGCCTACTGCAGCAGTGATTTGTCTGGCTTTCAAGTACAAAGACGGGACACACTTGTCTTGTTCTGAGGCTTGAAGGGTGACAACACAGCTCTATTTCAGGTAAGGCAAGAGAGTGTCTTCACATAGTGGAGACACAACCAACCACCTCAGTCATCAGCACAGTGCTTCTGTGACCCGCACAGAACCCTGCCAGTTCTCTCCCACAGCCCCCACACTGTTCTCCTTTAATGCGCACCAGATAGGAAACCTTTGCTTTATTTTTGGCATTCTAAAAATGTACACTGGTTTTCCAATTCTTTGTAGTGCAAACTCAGACACCGCACTTCAAAGAAACACTCAGAAGTGTTTCCTAAGTTAGACATAAACCCAGGGGCCACTGACCCTGCCCAGCCTCTCATACTGTGGCACAAACTAAATCTGCAGCTCCCTCTTCTCATTCAAGAAAAAGCATCGGAGCTTGAGGCACAAGCTCCCTGAATGGGGATATTCCCACCTTTCGCAGGAGCTCCTGCCCTGGGGCTTGAATGTGGAGCTGTGGACTCAACACAAAGGCTGGCTGAGAACGGCAGCTTCACTGCCTTCCTCAGTAAGTTGGGGGAATCACACAGACTTCTGATACTCACCCTTCCTCACTCCCAGCACCAAGAAAAATTTTAGAAATTCTTATTGTCACTGCACTCCTCAAGGAGAAAGACTTTTCCAAACTCCCTGCTAAAAACGAACATTAAGGGGACCCTAAAAACAAATCCGGCAGCAAACATAATACTGGGGATCTCACAAGATGTGGCTGGCTCAAGTAGAAAGCATCTCAGGTAGAAGGCTGGCATCCCTGTCAGTCCAACCTAGCAGGCGTAGGCTAGTGTTCCTCATCAGAAGAAAGTCCTGCAATTTCATCTCTGTCTCCCCCGATGGCCATCCAGAAGGCCTTAGCCACCTGTGGAGAGAAGCAGGCAACAAGCTGTAGGCACCAGCTGAATTTCAGTCCTACCCTGAACTAACTTGGTCCCTAAATTTCTACACACTGTCCTCCAGTCCTCTGGCAAAATTAAAATCCTTAAATACCCTTTGACCCAGGACTTTCACATCTAAGCGCTTAAGCTAAGGATGGGATGGGAGTTGTATATGGAGGCATGTGTAAGTTGTACATGGAGGCATGCAGAGCTTCATTATTTATAGAAACAAAAAATAAACATACTGTTGGCCTAAATCTCCAGAGGGAAACTGGATAAATTATGACATAGACATATAATGGAATCCCATCAACCACGTTAACTTTCCTGCCAAGAACACATGTCATGTTGGTCCTAACAAAACAGCTAAGAGTCCCCTGATCCCAAAGCTAGGAAGACAAATGTTCTAAGTCACAATGAGGGTTCCATGTCACTCATCATACATTTGAGAAATCTTATTCTGACTGAACTAATGGTATTACTGTGTATGGATATTTAAGTTAATATCCAATGAAAGCTCACACTAAGACCCTTTATATAAAGGGTGGGTGTCCCTTATAAGTCGTATATGACAACACCAGACCTTCTGCAGACACTACCTGACTGATTTTTCTCACCTTTTCTGCGTGCAACTTTCTTTGCTCATGAGGAAGCGTCGCAGCCTTGTCTAGAGGGAAAATAGATTGTAAGAAATTTGTCTAGCAGCACAGGGGCATCCAGAAGGCAGGGATGTTCTAACACAAGAAGGTGGGACGTGGGTTTCAAAGATGTTTATACAGTGGGCATCACTGCTATGAGGAAGGTGAAATATTCCGAACCATCCAGATGGAAATGACGTAATAAACTGGTGGGGACCCAAGAAACGCCACGGTGATGCCATACACCAAAGGGCACCGAGAGGCATGCGATGGGAAGCAAGAGGAGAGTGAGGAAAGGAAATCTGCCGTGGGGAAATCTTAGCAGAGGATGGCACAGCCCCTCAAGCAGGAAATTTTCTCAGTACAGCTAAGACCAGACCCAAATCCAATGGTTATGAAATAAAATCCTACTACATGAAACAGATGAGCATCAACTTGGGAAGATGGCAGATACAATGGAGCCCGTTACCTTTCATTTCTTTCAGTTTTGAAAACAGTCTTTCAAAATTTTCCAAATCTCCTCCTCCAGTGGTAAGGCTGGCTAATTCTTGAATGTCCAGATCTAATGTGGGATCTGAAATAGCATTTGTAACATGTTATTTGTGCCTCGCCAAGGATCCAGACTGAGACAAGCGGGATGCGATACCCAGCACGTGCACCCCGCCAACAGACAACAGCTGTCCCTACAGTCTGTAGCTGTGATAAGGGAAGGAGGCTGGAGTAATGGGCTGCGGGACCTGCTTAGGTCACAGGCACTAAATGAAGTGACATGGGGGTAGTGCCCCCTGTGAAGGCCACACGAGCTCCACTAAGCAACATGGACACAGAACCAAAGGGATGCAGCACTCTGCAGCACCAGAGGTACTGGCATGTCTGCTAGGACAGCTACCACTAAGTGATGAGCCAGAGCTTCTCCCCAGCTGACAGACGGAAGGCCCTTACCTTACAATAAACTCGCCCACATGATAGCCCTTCAGAGGCGGAGCCCATTGAAATTCGCATCTCACTACAGACCCTTTATCTGCTATACCCGGCATATCCTTCTTTATCAAAGCCATTTTAACCACAAGTTTAACTCCTCCTTCAAGGCTGGCCCACAGGCTTTAGCAACTTTATCACAGCCCTGACCACCCCTCCCTCTTTCCATACCCTTCAGAGCTGCCCCAGCGAGCACTGCTGTGGCTCCTCCCAGCATTCCTGGGCCACTACTTTTGAAATAACTTTCATCTCACATAGAGTTGCCAAAATAGAACAGGATCCCTGTAAGTCTTGCAATCACCCCCCCATGAGAACACCTCAAATTGTTACGAGTATTGAAAAGCAGTGAATCTTCAGTTAGAACGACCACACAGGCTTTGCTCAGATGTCACCAGTTCTCCCCTGTGTCTCAGGGTCCCACACAGAACTTCACTGTTCCAGCTCCTTCCCCAGCGCCGTCCTCAGCCTTTGCCTTTCCTACGTAAGACACTTCATGGCCTAGTCATTCTGCACCACGGCCCATAGTCTGCTCTAACGTGTTCTCATGACAGCGTGGGCAAGACTCCAGCAGAGGTGCTGCACTTTCCGTGGGGCCTCTGCCAGGACTCCAATATCAACATGCCTTATCACTGTTAACACGGTGGCCGGGATCTGCCTGTGTTCTCCAGTGCACAGTTCCTATGTTCTCCATTGAAATCAATGAATACCTACGGGGAGAAATTTCCAGCCTATGCAAATAACCTACTTCTACTCCACCTATCATCCACTAATTTTAACCTTGCCTGCCAAAACTATTACTGTGGTATGTGCCTCATGTTGGTTTTCTATTTCCCTCATTCCTTCCTTCTGCATTTATGAAATGGAATTTGTCTATAAGGAGGAGGAGACTTTTCTTTCCCCTTCTTTATGTTAGCATGGCCTCACAGGGATTTAATTTGTGAGTTATAATCCACTCACGGGTGAGCTTATTTTGCTGGCCACACCGTTCCAAGCCCCAGTCTGTGGAAGCCCTCGGGCTAGTCCTGTGCCCTGTACACATGCACATTCCTTCCTACGCTCTTCCTTACATGTGGGCAACACAAGAGGATCCTTGCCCAGGCATGACCTCAGCCACTGCTCAAAGAGCCGGGTTCCTTCTACCTGTGCCTGGTACTGAGAAGCCAGGACCTGAGTGCTCGCTAGACACACGCAGCTACGCTATCACAGGCATGCACACATCTGTCTTTCTCTACTGGCCTAAGTTTATTTTAACCATGAGCTCATATTGATGTTAGGTTCCAATCCAATAGCAAAGGATTCATTCTAGAATTCCCCGTCATTTATTTATGTAACTTCTTTCTCTGACAATGAAAAGTCCAGGTTTCATTATATAGAAGATGTTTTATTTATCCTGTTTCCCTGAAATGAGATTTAACTGTGAAATAATCAGCCATGTAAAACTACAGCCCGCAAATGCCAGCCCCAATCAGCCTGTCTTTTTTTTTTTAACCCGCCTTACAGAGTAACTGCCACAGAAGAGAACAGTGACAGCAGGAATTTAAGCTACTTTAAAGGCCAACAGGAAGGATTCAGAAAGGAGAAGGCCGAACAAACCACAGAAGAAAAAAAGACTGTATCTAGTTTCTCTTCATATGTTTCTATAACCAATCACTTGAGTTTTCTATACAGATTATCTTAAAATCAGAAAAATAACTAAAAAACTGTTACAGCACGTGAATGACCAACAGCATGACCGTAAGGCAGGAGTATCAGTCATTCCACGTAAAGAACGCTTACTGTCAACTCTAAGGTCCTGGGCGTCTGGCTTTGGGCAGCAGACCTGGTTCTAGGCAAGAGATCCTTGAACAAGTTATTATACTTCTCTAGGTGTCACGATCTTCTCCACGGAACAAGGTTCTTCCCAAATCTCATTACCAAATGAGATACAAAAAAACTACACAAAGGATGTGAAAGGGCTTATGGATATAATGTTGCATTATTCTTGTCACCATTAATTTCGACTACTGTTCAATACTAAGAAAAAATAAAAACCTGGGAACACAGAGAACTATAAGGCTGCTCTAACACCTGGTTCTGTCTCAGCTAAGATGATGTGAATCAAGGCTTGCTAAGAGAATAAAGAGGAGATGGTACCCACGTGCCTTGACCATGCGTTCTTCTCCGTGCTTCTTCTGGACAAGGCTCACATTTATTGCTGGCACATCACCCATTCCCTCCCCCTTTCCTGCCCCCTCAACATCTATTCCAAACCCTACAGAGCTGTCTCCTGGTGGCCCAAGGACTCACCCAAAGCGCTGTCACCCTGGGTATCTGCTGTGTTAGATGCGGCACCCCGATGGTCCGGGATCAATTCTGTCCTGTCTGCTGCTGGCAAAGCGGGCTGCTTAGAGGAAAATTCACAATAACAACAACTTAGTAGCAGGCAGCTTCACAGGTAAATCCCCCAAAGGCTCACATCCCCATACTCCCTAGCTGGCTCTAAGAGCTAAAGGTAAGGAAAGAAAGAATAAGTGAGGCTCCTCTATTTAAACAAAAAAAAGGCTAAAGATTCCCTCACCCAGGAGTGGTTGCCTCAAGGAAAAACTAGCAAGTGTTACAACTTTGCTGATGCTTGCTGTATCATTTGGGAGGAGTGATGTCAATCCCAGATGAGAGGAGGATATATAGCAATTAGGCAAGAAAAAGAAAGAAAAGGGACACGATTAGGAAAACCAGTCAAATCACCCTAATACGCGGACAGTATGCTCCTATACTTAGGAGACCCCAAGGAGCTACCACGAGACCATGAGAGCTAACAGACACACTCAGCGAAGTAGCAGGACATAAAATCAATTTTAAAAAATCAACAGTTCTCTAAATCAATAATTAACTAGTTGAGAAAGAAATCAGGAAAATAATTCTATTCTCCATAGCTTCAAAAGTTTTTTTTAAAATAAACATCTAGGAATCAACCTAACCAAGGAAGTAAAAGAGCTCTGCCATGAAAATTACAAGTGCTGAAGAGACTAACTCAGACACTATACGATGGAAAGACTCGCCATGCTCATGGATCGGCAGAATTTTAGTAAAATAGCCCTATTATTGAAAGCAATCTACAAATTTTATGCATTTTTAAACAGAATTCCAATGATATTCTTCACAGAACTAGGAAAAAAAAATCTTAAAATTCATATGGACTAATGGAAGACCCAGAATAGCCAAAGCAATCCTAAGCAAAAGAGCATGACTGGAGGCATCGTAACACCAAATTCCAAGTTATACTACAAAACCAATGTAACAAAATCAGCAGGGCACTGGCACAAAAATAGACACACAGATCAATGGGATTGGAGGACAGAGAAACAAACCCACTCAACTACCACCATCTGATTCCTAAATGAAGGATCAAATACAGATGCTGAAGAAAAGATAGCCTCTTAAAAAAGGATTGGTGGTGGGCTGGGAGATAGCTCGGCAGTCTAAGTGCTTGCCTGGCAAGCGCAACGACCAGGGTCCGATCCCCAGTACCCCATGCTGTACTGGCCTGGGACCCCAGGAGTGTGTGCCTGCCACCGAAACCTGGTGTGGTGGCACATGCCTACAATCCCAGTGTTCAGGAGGCTGAGATAGGATAATCACTATGAGTCCAAGCTGAGTAGCGAGACCCTGCATCAAATAAATTAAATGATTAAAAATATTGGTGGTGGTAAAATTAGTATCTATGCAGAAGACTGAAACTATAGCCTTCCGCCATAGCAACCATCAAAGAAGAGTAGCCATGGCACTTGGCTATCTCATGGTCCTGGGTCTCAACAAGGGCCACAAGGTGACGAAGAATGTAAGCAAATGGAGGCACAGCCACAGTTGCGGACATCTCACCAAACACCAAGTCCATGCAGGACATGATCCGGGAGGTGTGCGGCTCATCCCCTACAAGCAGCGCGCCATGGAGCTGCTCAAGGTCTCCAAGGACAAGCGTGTTCTCAAGTTCATCAAGAAAAGGGTGGGGACGCACATCTGTGCGAAGAGAAAGCGTGAGGAGCTGAGCAACGTGCTGGCCGCCATGAGGAAGGCAACTGCCAAGAAGGACTGAGCCGTTCTGGAATAAACCTATGCAGAAAGTTAAAATACAAACAAACAAACAATACATATATTATGTCCATATCCAAAACCCCAAAATCAATTCAAAATACATCAAAGACCTAAGTGACCAGAAATTTTGAAAATGCTAGAAGACAACACAGGAGAAACACTTATGGATACCAAAAAAAATTAAAAGATTTCCTAACTAAGACTCCAATAGCACAGAAAATAATAGTAGGAATTAACAAATGGGACTATATCAAATTAAAAAGGTTCTGCACAGCAAAGAAAACTACTTACAAAGTGAAGAGACAGCCTACAGAATGAAAGAATTTTTTTTGCCAGACACTTTCTCGACAAAGGATTAATATCTAGACTATACCAAAAACTCAAAAAGCCCTATCAATAAATGGACAAATAAACAGGACAGGATTCCCAAAAGAAGTATTAATGCCAATGAGTTGTTTTTTAAAAAAAGGTCAATGTCTTTAGTCATTAGGGATATGCAAATCAAAATAACATTGAGATTTTATCTCACCCCAGGGAGAAAGGCATTTCTTTTTTGAGACAGGGTCTTGTTATGCAGTTGTTTGGTCTCGAACTCACTATGTATAGTGGTGGTGGTAAAATTAGTATCTGTGTAGGAGACTGAAACGATAGCTTTCCGCCACAGCAACCATCAAAGAAGAGTAGCCATGGCCCTCCGCTATCCCATGGCCGTGGGCCTCAACAAGGGCCGCAAGGTGACTAAGAATGTGAGCAAATGGAGGCACAGCCACAGTTGCAGACATCTCACCAAACATACCAAGTTCATGCAGGACATGATCCAGAGGTGTGCAGCTTCGCCCCCCCTATGAGCAACGCGCCATGGAGCTGCTCAAGGTCTCCAAGGACAAGCGCAAACTTGCAGCAAACCTCCTCCCTCTGCCTCTCATGTGCTGGGATTATAGTCCTGAGCTACAACACATGGCTGGCTAATGTTAAGCATACAAAAATAATAAACGCTGGCAAGGACGGAGTGGGAGGGTGGGTGGGGAGAAGCCCTCTGCACTGTTGGTAAGAATGTAAATCAGGCCAACAACTGTGGAAATCTGTACAAGGTTTTCTCAAAAAGCTAAGAACAGGGCTGGAGAGATAGCTCAGGGGCATAAGCACCTGCCTGGCAAGTGCAAGGCCCCAAGTTCAAGCCCTAGTACTACCAAAAAAAAAAAAGTAAATAAAAAAAGCTAAGAATAGAAAATCCATATGACCCAGACACAACATGCCCTGGTACATATGCAAAGGAATGAAAGCCAGCACAATCTAAGGATACCTGCATGCGCACGTTTACTGCAGCACAATTCTCAATAGCCAAGGTATGGAACCAGCCTAGCGCCTATCAGCAGGTGAACGGATGAAACAAATGAGGAACACCACAAAGAACAAAAGAGAGGGCTGGGGGTGGGTGCGATCCAAATGTGTGCGCGCCATGTGTGAAAATACCACACTGAAGCCCAGTACTTTATAAAATTAGTAGGCACTGATGAAAACATATTTCTAAAATTATTTTAAAAGATACACGTTATACTCAAAATGTGAAAAATGTACAGAATCAGGACACCGACTGCTTTAGGCTGATGGGAAAGCTCTGTGGAGAGAAAATGCGGTGCATGATCTCAGGCTCTGACCTAAGCAGACCGGGCCTGGGGTGCCTGAGCACCGAGGGCTGAGCCCGGACCACCAGCTCATGGAGGGCAGGGGCCTTGCCTCAGTGTGTAAGGCTAAGTGCACAGGAAATAAAACACAATTTTATTTTCTATTTAAAGATCTGGAGGCCTCGAGGAAATGCAGGTGCATTTCAAAAGACACTCTAGAAAAAAACACGCCAGCCAGCACTGCAGACCTCTCAGGAAGGCTGACGGCGGTCGGTGGTCGTCTGGGTGCCAAGTGAGCCACCTCCAATGGGCGCCGGCACAACAGGGCCATGCGAGACCCTATTCTTATTATTCTCTGCCTCCTCAGAAATAGAAAACAAAAATGACGAATGATGCAGGCATACTGAAAAGGAGAAAATAAGGCCAAAGAGGAGAAAGAATCTGAGAGTCTTTACCTCTGAGCGGTGGGTCTCTGCAGTTCCAAGGCTGTGGTTTGTCCCAGCCAATGAATTGAGAAGGCTGAAGCCTTGGTTCCTATCTGAAAAGAAAAGACACGATCATCAGGAATTTTCAATTACATTCTAAATTACTAAAATGGCTATGATGATGAGGGAACGAAAGATATTTTCTCATTATCAAAGTTCTGACTATAAGATATGGTTGATATCAACTACCATGCTATTATTTATAGCTTGGATCTAGAACATTCCTGAAAGGTCCCCAGACAGTGGCACAGCTGGGACATTGGAACTGTTAGGAGTCAGGGCTCACAGGAGAAAGCAAGGTCACTGAGGTGTCCCTGAAAAGAAGACCGAGATCATAGCCCCTCTCTCCGTCTGCTTTCCAGTCACCATGAGGCCAACAGGCCTCCTCCATATATGCTTTGGCCACACCACACTGGCTCAGCTCAGGCCCCAGAATCCATGGACAGAAACCTCTGAAACCATGAGCCAAAGCAAACCTTCCTCCTTATATCATCCTGAATATTCTGTCACAGTGACACAAAACTGCCTGACATGCATATGCTACATAAGTGTTAAAATCACAGAATTTTAATCTAGGTCAAAAATAATGATAGCATCATCATAATACATTCCATGCTTGTAATTGCAAAGATTAACAGTACTCACGTTTTAATAGTCACTATAAACAAATATTCCATTTTGAAAATTAAAAAAAAATTAAATCAGCCAAAGCAGCCCACGAAGCTTAGGGAATGCCCAATACAGGAAAAGCATAAGCCATGGAGCTGAAATAAGGAGATTTATGAATTAGATCTGAAAATTACCCGAAACCTGAGTAATTTCCAATTGTAGAAGGGAGGAGTGTCTTATGGCAGTAGTAAGGCATGAATATGCAGTAAAGAAGAACACACATGTGCTCTCAAATAAAGCAGTCCTGAGATAACTGAGTCACTGCCATTAGGCTCCCTAGACTGCAGATGGATGTCTGTATCTCAACGGAGACCAAGCCTGGAAAGGAGCGCAGAGGCAAAACACCCCAGGATTTAAGGACTCTACCTGAGACTCCCTGATAAGATTACCATCTTAGGACACAGGCCAAGGAATCTCTGTATTTAGCAAATATTCCAGTGGAGACTCTGGGATCAGAAAGTTCAAAAAGCCTTGCCTTGGAGTAGAACAGGAAACCGCACCCAGGAGTCTAACAGCAGAGATGCCAAGGGCCTTCTCTCTCAAAATCACACCACACTCTCCTTGCAGGTCCTCCCTAGGCCCTTGGGGAGCCACGCCCATCTCTAAGCCCCGCCCCACCCTGGCCCTCCCTCACAGGGACTCCAGGCCCCCTCACCTCCTCACCCAAAGGCCTGGGTGTGACAAATCAAGGACAGGGGGCTCAGTTCCAAGGCTGCCTGAGTTCTGCACTCTTTCAGAGCTGGGCATCTGTTTATTCAAACAACAACCAGCCTTTCCTTCGGCCAGTGCACTGATGATTTTAAAGCAGTTATACAGAGTCACACAAGACTTGGGGATTTTACTTGTCAGGAGGACACACGAGCATTCCTACACTTTAGGCTGTCTGTACCAAAGGCAGGATCCTGTAATAAACTACTGCTGTAAGACACTCCTCCCTCCTATAATTGGAAATTACTCAGGCTTTGGGTAATTTTCAGATCTAATTCATAAATCTCCTTATTTCAATTCCATGGCTTATGATTTTCCTCTGTTGGGCATTCCCTAAGCTTGGTGGGCTGCTGGGCTGCAACTCATGAAAAATGCAATACAGCATCAGTTTGTGCGTGTTATTAGACTAAAACAGTCCTCTTCGAACTTGGCTCCACGCAACATACACCTTCTGCTTCTGTTGCATGTTTGTGTATTACCTATTCAAAGGGACTTGTTACACATTATATGATTTGATGCTATGGCTATTTACCATGATTAAAAAACAGTACAAATGCTTAATGCCTCAATTCTTATGGATAAAATTATGAAAAAGAATCGTGGACAAAGAACTGGGCTAGTGCGCAGACAGAAAGGGCTTCAACTGTGGCTATGCCTGCCTGTATGGTTTCAGACAAATTAAACTGTGCCTCAACTTTTTGATCTGTAAATTGAGTTGGCTGCTAAACACGGTGAAGGCCCCTCATACCCTAGAAATCTGTAATGTTATAAACAGGCATCGTGTGCTCGCTTCGGCAGCACATATACTAAAACTGGAACGATACAGAGAAGATTAGCATGGCCCCTGAGCAAGGATAACACGCAAATTTGTGAAGTGTTCCATATTTCTGTGATAAGCCATACATTTATATGTAGAAGATGGGCAAGGCAATGATCCTGAGAATCTCCAGAAGATTTCTGAATCTAGCAGTTAATTGGAAAGATCCTCACCCTGACTATATATACTGACACCTGTGAACTAAGCAACTGCACTGAAGATGGCAATCTGTAATAGTAGGTTCATGCTTGGAGCGCCTGTCATTCTGGTCTTCTGAATACGGGTTGTTTTGCTGACATGCCAGTTGCTGCTGTGCTGTCTCTCAGGTAGATGATTATTCAAGAAGAAGAGGGTGGTGAATGAAGGCAGGAGACAGGAAAAGGAATGTTGTGGGTCTGTCCTGCTTCAAGGTTGTATATGGTTAGATTTTGGACTTATGTGCAAATGTAAGAATTATATAATTCTTTATGACTTTTTAAAAAATATGTTCTAATTTTTAAATGTTTGTTCACCATATTCTATAGGGACTTAAAGTTCAACATATTATAGTACTTGATGAAAAATATCTGTTCCATGTTATGCCTAAGATGTTTGATATTCAGACAGATAGTGAAGTTAAGCTTAACAGCCTAGGTTGTATGGTAATAACAATAAGCTTCTCTTCTGAAGGGTTAACAACCTAAGTTTACAGACCAAAATTAGAGAAAAAGGAGGGCCACAAGGAAAGCCAACATTTTGGCCCTAGCCTTCCAAGGTCAATTAAGACTCAGGACATAAGAGAACTTGTACTGTAACGTCATGTAACTCGGTAGTGCCCCAAATTTTCTGATCAAGGAGATTATGGGGCTAAAGAGGAAAGTGATCGATGATGTAGAGTGTGCCTAAGGAGAGTCACATGGAGAGAAAACATTCTCTCAAGCTTTCACAGAAAGCACATTGGCCAAGCAATGGCCATGACTCATCCACATGGCTGACACTGACAAAGGATCTACAATCTGAGGTACAGGATCTCAGGATAAATCCTGAGGGGACTTCACTGACCTTATCAGACCCAAAAGCTACAACTCTTGTTGCATAGGTCTTGCTTTACCTTGGTCTTAACCATACAGCAGAAAAGTATAAAAACGACGTATAAGAAGTAAAGCCATGCTGTTATGTTGAGCTGTAGGGGACTCTGGTCAACAATTTCTGACATTGCCAGTGAAGCGGAAGACCCAATACTATTATGGACTCCTGGACTCTTTTACAATATTTTGCTGAGTTAACACACCTTTAATATTCAAATAATGGAACTAAGCAAAAAAAAGGGATATAGATGAATGTCCATTTTGTATCTGTGTATTCAAAATGGTTAGGATAGATATATAATAAAAAGTTAATACATTGTGTGCTTCTAGAATTTCTGGGCTATGGTTGACCATAACTAAAAACATAGATAAGGAGAGACTAATGTGTATTAAACTCTATGCTAAAAGTGTCAGTTACAGTAGTCTGATAATTAGCCATCAATGGAACAAAGATAAACACAACAGTGTCACAGGAAAAATCTAGTCGCGCTGGTTCTTAGCACAGGCTCTTTTAGATATGACCAGAAACAAAACCACTATTGCCTCTAAAATAGATCTGAAATGGAAAATTCTCAAGGCTTAGGAATGAAAATTTATTTTTAATAGGTTCCAAGAAACTTTAAAAGATGTGAAATTGCTTAGGTATCTCTTTACAGATCTACAGACCATTAGTTCAGAAACCCATATATTCACATGAGATATTGTGATATGGGCACAGAAGAAAAGTAAGTTTAAAAAAATAATTTTCCCTTTAGTTTTTCTACCATTTCTCAGCCTTTTGGTTAAGATCAAGTATAGCACCTTTAATTTTTCTGCTCCTCTCTCATGTCTCTTTATCAAGGTAATATGATAAATATATGAATTTGGACATTAGGACACATGAGTCCCAGTTATACCTCTTACTGTGTGTCTTACAAGTTATGCCTTTTCTGTATCCTAGTACAGTATTTACATTTATGCAGTGGGTACAACAATACTCTGCTTTACAGATTACTGTAAGGGTCAAGAATAACAGGAACAACAACAACAAAAAAAGAATAACAGGAACAGCTACTGTGTACTAAATGCTAAGGATCTGCAAGGCAATGTTTTCCGCACTGAACATAAAATGCCCCTTTAGCCCTTGGCACAAACCAACCATACCTTCTACACACATGCAGAAATCAACATATTCCTTATTGTGCTGTCCCCTTTTACAAATGATTTATTTTATTGCTATTGCTTACAGACTATGACTCAAGATTAAGTTATTTGCCCCAAATCACATACTTAGAACCAGTACTTGAAATCTAGGCATCCCTAACTCTAAACTCCATTCTCTTTTCATTAAACC